TAGGAACCATCCAGATAGAGGAACTACTATCTAGAACCAGGTTATCCAATAAAAACTCGATGCAGGCCACAAAGGCAAGCCACATGCACAATGTTAAATTCTCTAATAGCCATATTTTAAATAGTAAAAAGGAACAGATAAAATTACTTTTAATAATATCTTTTATTTGACTCACTGTATTCAAAATAGTGTCTTTGGCAATAAAGATTTCTCTAAAAACTAATGATGTTGACTGGCCATCTATATATCTTTTTCAGTAAAGTATCGCCCCCCCCCCTTTTTATGATGTTGTTTGCTTTCTCATTATTGACAAAATATGACCTTTGATCACACAGCAATTTCTTTCCTGTGCCTGGATGCAGTGATATCAGTAGAGTTAGGTAAAAAGGTTATACAGTGGGGCCTTGACTTACAGTGTCCCGACTAACGAGTTTTTTGAGATACGAGCCATCTCTCTCGGCCAATTTTTTGCTTTGAGTTGCAAGCTAAAATTCGGGTTATGAGCCAGCTTCAGATACCCCACTGCTAGTTGGTGCAGCGAACGTCACAGTGAACACCACAACATCAGCCTAGCATCACATGTCTCACTCGATCACAACTGATTTGACATATGAGTAATTTGAGTTAGGAGCTCCATCACGGAACAAATTAAACTCGCAAGTCAAGGCCCCACTGTAAGTACATATACAAGTGCACATGTGTATATATAGGCGCGCACACACACACACACACACACACACACACACTCATGAGCTCAGAAAAATGCTTTGGAACATATAGTGTTAGAGAATAAAATCGTCAGGAGCCTCCAAACCACTATCAGCAGGGCAGAGCTGTTTGCATAGCTGTATCTGACCATACAGGTTTCCCTTTAAACAAAGGAAAACCTAGAGCCCTGTGACCTAACAGGAAATGTTGCTGCCGCTGATAGTGCATGAATAGTGGGTGCAGTAAGCAGGGCGTTCCCACAGCAACGAGATACATAACCAAAAAGTGGTAAAACCCAAATGTATCCAGGGCAGAGCCGAGCACTTAAGCACGTGGCTTCAGACCTGGGTTTGCAGTTCCTTGGGCTACTGGCTCAGAGCTCTTGGGTAACCTTATTAACCTCATTTTTTTCATTTGCAAAATGGGGGTGAAGCTGCCTCACATGATTGTCATAAAAATTAAGTGAAAAATCTGGGTGGTATGTAACAAAGTTCTTGGCATCTATGATCAGCACATTAAATTCATCTCTTATTATGAAGGGAAAGTGGGGGTTATGAGCCTGAACTCTGGGACTCTAGGGCCAGCCAGACTGGGCTAGAACCCCAACTCTGACAATTCCTAGCTGTGTGACTTGGACAAGTTACTTCACTTCTCTGTGCCAAAATGTCCTCATCCATAAAATGAGAATAATATAATATAAATCTCCCAAGGTTGCTATAAACATTGACTGAGCTTATATCTGCCCAGTACTTAAGATGGCGATAGCAGATAGAAGTGTGCTCTTACGGCTGCAGGGATCTCCCTAAGCTCCCGTCAGTGTATAAAGAGCTTCCTACTTGTGACTATAATTCCTTGGCTCTCATTACTCAATCAACAGCTATTTATAGAGCATCTACTACGCACAAGTACTGAACTAGGTGTTAGAAGGGATTGGAAAAATTGTAAAAGACATACGTTTTCCTGATCCCAAAGAACACAAACCCCTAAAACAGGAAGCACGGTTCATAAGATCAACCAGTAGAGTAGGTAACTATTACTATGTACTCTTCCTAGTACAAATAGATGATAGAGAAATTCAGAGACATAAGATCTGCCGTGGAAATAGAGGGAATTACAAAGGGAGTCGGAGAGCTAGGCATTAAGAGCGAGAGAGCCAGCCTGGCCTGTGTGGCTCAGTTGGTTGATTGTTGTCCTGTGCACTGAAAGGTCACTGGTTGGATTCCTGGTCAGGGCACATGCCTAGGTTGAAGGCTCGATCCCTGGTTAGGGTGCAAACTGGAGGCAACCGATTGATGTTTCTCATATCCATGTTTCTTTCACCCTCCTTCTTCCCTCCTCTCTCTAAAATCAATAAACACACACACACACACACACACACACACACACACACACACACATATATATATATATATATATATATATATATATATATATATAGAGAGAGAGAGAGAGAGAGAGAGAGAGAGAGAGAGTTCTAGGCCTTGGGAGTGCATGAGCAAGAGGAGGTTCCAGAAGCCTGATGGTCTTCCCAAGGACAAGTGAGATGGGTGTATGTCTGGAGTGGATGGTGGGCAAAGGGGAAATCAGTTAGGAAAGGTAGGTGGGGGCCAGTTGGCAAAGAGCCTTAAATGCTAGACTATTTCTTCAATGCCTAAACTGTAGGCAGTGGGGATTCAAGCAGTTTACTGGTAGTTTTTACCTTTAATGTTGATTAAAAAGTTACCACTATATATTTTTTAAAGCAGAAGTGCAAACAGGCCCCACTGCACACTTACGAAATCAGAATCCCTGAAGCAGAGGCTCAGGCATATGTTCAGTGAAAGAATTCTGCAAGCCGTTCCGACAGAGACCAAAAGTTGAAACCCACTGACACGGAGCCTATGGAGATTATGCTCTCAAAACCTGACACAGGGCAATTTACAATTGAGTAAATTAATACCTTATGGGGGAAAATGATCCCATGACTATATATATATATATATATATATATATATATATATATATATACTAATAAAAGGGTAATATGCTAATTAGAAAGGGAGACCTTCCAGAAGTCCTTCCAGACAAAGCCATGGTGTCGGGGCTGAGGCAGAGATGGTTAGCGGCGATCAGGCTGGTGGGGGCTGGAGGGGGGGGCAGTTGGGAGGCAATCAGGCCGGCGGGGGTGGGGTGGGGGTGGGGAAGTTGGGGGCAAGCAGGCCGGCAGGCCCCTTGAGCAGTTAGGAGCCAGCAGTCCCAGATTGCGAGAGGGATGTCCAACTGCCGGTTTAACTGGAAGATGGACATCCCCCGAGGGGTCCCAGATTGGAGAGGGTACAGGCCGGGCTGAGGGACACTCCCACCCAGTGCACGAATTTCGTGCACTGGCCCACTAGTATATATATAATTTCATTTGCAAAGTTATATACATATACTTTGCAAATGAAAAAATAATGGTATACAGTTCATTGCTGGCACATAGTAAATGTTCAATAAATATTTGTTAAATTTTTAAAAAAGTAAATCTGGATTAATATGAATAGCTTCTTGACAGAGAAGTCAGAAGAAAGAGAACTAGGATCTGTCTGGTGCCCTCACATGCCAGGTAACTTACAGGTAGTATTTCATTTAGTCCTAAGAAGAGCCCTATGAGGGGGACATTATTATTCTCATTTTAGGGGCAAAGAAGGTGATACTCTTACATGGTGCACGTGTAGTAAGTCACAGACTGGGCATTCAAACACAGGTTCCAGGCTCTAAACCAAGGCATTTCCCACTGTATCGAACAACCTCCCCATAAACACTGTTCCCTTGAATCTTAACTAGATAGCAAATATTGTGTCATAAATACTCCCTACTCCTTCTCCTTTTTCTCCTCCGCTGGGGTCTGAATTTTACCTTCCCTCTGCCCTGAAACTGAGCCCAAATCACTGAGAACTATCATTTCAAGTTTTGGTGTTTGTTTTTTTTAAAGCCAACTCCTCCTTTCCTTCTCTTTGTCCCACCCTCTCCCCCTCTGACATCTCCTAATCCACTATACTCAGTTGTGAAACTCCTTGTTTAGAGAGCACAAAATGGAACCTGAAATCGTAAGGAATTCCTTGGGTGGTTTTCTTTGTACCCGAAGGCTGACGTGGGGTGACAGCAGAAAGGGGCTCGCTTATAGTAGGCTCCCCCCAAATCAAAGGAAATGACGCCGGTGCTCTCTGTAGCACTGGGAACAGTTCGTTATTTTAATCTAAGCAAGTTCCTCGTCCTGCTTTGGAAAGTCATCCTCTACTGGAAGACTGTGGTCGCTGTCTGTGTGTATGTGTCTGTGTGTGTCTGCAAGGGACACTGAACATCTCTCCTTAAATCCGCACTGTCTTCTCCATTTGCGTGTAATATTCTCATCTCCCAGTGACCCCTTCTATTTTTTTCCCACCAAGGCGTTAGATTTTTCAGATCTAATGCTTTATTTTTCTGTTGATCACATGATGCACAAAGACATTTTTCTCCTTTATATATACGTTCTTAATTCTTCTACAATGGATTATATGACAATTTACCCCACTCCCATCTAAATTGGAATCCTGGGTAAATGCCAAGCAGCCTTTCTTTTTGGTTTTGAATGTTCTTCAAATGAAACTGACAGTTTGTATATTCCTTCATCCGCATTACTGAGGGAAAAGCCTGTCACTCTGGGGCTAGGACCCACGTGGATTTACCTATTATTAGCCTGAAGGCCTGGGCAGACTTCTTAGCCAAAGAGGTTCAGATATAACATCTATACCTAGACTCAAAATATCGACTTTGAAAAGTGACCCCTTTGTTTCACCAGGAAGAATGAGTTGCTGTGTGAGGAAGCCATGATAACACTTTGCATTCTCTGCAGAGGACTGTATCCAAATACGCAGATTGTGTACTGACAATCCTAGGGCGCAGTCACCTAGACTCCAGTCTGAATAGCGCTCCTGGGGTTGAGCAGCACACATCGCCCAACCACACACAGCAGCCCTCCAGTAGGAAACTCATTTCTCCCTGATGCGAATACTTTTCTGCATCCTTAATAGCTAATGGCCATTTGTGGACTCTTGTTCGCCTGAGCATTATAATCAAGGTCTCATAAATCAAAAATTAGTGAGCCAGGCGTATGGCTTATCTTTATTGCCCCCTATTTTTATTATTCCCAGAACAGACTGACGTTGAAATCATAGAGTCATCGGGATAACTTGAGAGATTATAAATGGTGTCGTCCTCAGGAAATGGAAGTGGGTTGTAGAAAAGGAGAGTCGTCAATGGGAGGCAAAACATCAGAGTTATCACATCCAAAAGACACTAAACACAGTCATATTTATTTGAAAACATAACGTGGATTCCATATTAATAAATACTTTTAACACTGAATATCGAAAAACTACTGTGCTTGTTCTAAGAAAACAGTTTACTACAGAATCAGAGGAAAGGTGGTCTTTTGCCCGTAGGCCTTTGCTAAAACAATCTGGGACTAGGAATAGCCTCATAGATATTGTGTGAAATTGGGGGAGGGAAGAGAGTTGATACAATTAGGAAGAATTTTCTACTCTCCTTTCTTCACTGGGGCCTTAGAATTAAAAATCTGAAATTGGGAAATACACCTTTACACATATCCCGGTTTATCTCTCAGTTTTGGATTAGGCTCACCAATGAGTAGACACAAACAAAATTTGGAAACCGGTCCCTGATTTGAATCAAGGTCAGATCAGTCTGGTTGAAAGTGGGTCCATGAGGTCCAGAAGGAGTTGCTACAGCTTATGCTTAAAGCTCAGGCACAACCACAGTGTCACTCACCACAGAACTGAAAGCACCAAACCACGTTGACCGCCACCTCCACCAGCTCTGTCCCTTCAGTGCTAACTTTATATGAACCTATCACCCCGTCTGCCTGCCTGCGGTCCAGCCCCTGCACCCTGGAGCTGGGGTTGGAGGCACACATTACCAGGCAGCTGTCTCTGCACCCATGGAGAGAAACCATGAAGGGAACCCATGTGGTGACTTTTTTTCCTGCAAACACTCAAATGAAACAATCTCAAAGATGTGGAGTTCCCCATCCTAATGGTAATAAATGATAGAGAAATGCTCCTGAAAGAAACCAAGGTAGGCCCTCTCAGATCAGCCTCGAGTGGGAGTGGAAAGCGCCTGCTCTGAGCGGCTTTAAGGCATGGAAAAGACCTCGGCTACTCCAGGCCTCCCTGGGTCTTTTTCGCAGAAGACATGATAACCTTCCAGGCTCTAGTGAGTGAACGAAAGCTTCACCCTGAAAGCCACCACTGCACTGCTAGCTCTCAGGACGTTTCTGGGTAGAGGGAGGGAGGAAGAAAAGAGGTCTCCTTCGTTTTGATACATAATCTTGTGGCCAAGGGCAAGGGAAGGAAGTGGAAAAGAACAAACGTGGTTTGTGCCTAGTCGTTTTAGTACAGGTTGCAAGGATTATAAAGGGAAGAGCTGTTTCAGGTTCTGAAGGCCAAGGCTTAGTCAAGAAGGGACAGCAGCTGGACGGCTGGGGGTGGGGAAGGTGTTAGAATCATGGGGCTTTGGGGTTTTAAGCTAGGGAGGACCTCAAGGCTTTCACTTCATTTTCCAGAAGAGGAACCAGGGGCCTGAGAGATTAAGCTGTGTGCCAACTCCACATAGCTTGGTATATCTGCTTGGGGGACACGAAGAGTAGCAGAGACTGCAGTGAGCCATACGGTGGGGTGCAGGTGCACATCGCCTGGCATGTGGTTAGTTACATTTAGAACCCCCGCAGGTGAAAAGTTCCCAGCCCTGGGCCCTTTCTTGTTGATGTGTCTCCAGAAGTGAATAGATCCTGGACCAAGCTTATTTGGGGGGTTCCCTCTGGAGGGTGAGGAGGAGCTGCAGGTGTGTCCTCACTTCCCAGTCCGGGAGGCCACCTGGATGGCTTTGATCCACTCGGTGCGCTCCTTGGGGGTGGCCGCTTGCAAGAAATAATGAACTTCATCGGCCGTGATGATCTCAAACAGGTTCTCTTCTTCACTTTTCCTGGCTGGTGAAAGAAAACAGGAATGACAGTGCCCATGGGCATCAGAGAGGCCACCTAGCTCACCTCCTCTGCAAGGAAGGAAACCCCTGTTTCCTGAGTGTCCAAGGAAAATCAAATATGTGGTTTTCAAACTTACCATCATTGTATGATCATATATATTTATTGTATAACTATAGATAGTATTTATATGGACAGGTACATAGTATGATCGTGTGTGTGTGTGTGTGTGTGTGTGTGTGTGTGTGTGTGTGTGTGTGTTTAAGAAATAAGTTGAAACACTCAAGGAGAAACATTTTCTTTTACAAACTACTCACTTTTGCATATGAGTAGTGAGTAACCTCTAATAGTGTCTAATGAATATTTCCTCTGCTCATAATATAAATCAAGGGCCGACCCTGATACCTTTTTAAATTTATAAGTACGTAAGTAAGTAAGTAAGTAAGTAAGTAAGTAAATAGATAGCCAGGCCTTTCGCCAGTACCACCAGACTAGCCTGAACTTGATTTTGTCAAGGGCTAAGTTAGAGTCTCTGCTGAAAGTTTGGAGGCAGTAAACTGGCCAATACTGTGACAAGGCTTAAAGTCTCCACCTCAAATTAAAAAGCAAGATGCTCCCTACCCCAAAACTAAAGCAGAATTCTACGCAGTGAAGGGAGTAAGCAGGGGTAGTGGAAAAAAATATCTAGGCTCATGCAACTGTAGTGTTTTTCTGTCTATCTCTATAACATTATAAACCCAAAACAACCAGATAAAATCAAGGTTTGGATGTCTAAACCACACCTCCACCGTGATACCACCCCTCCCCACACCTGAGAAGTCAATCTACACCAACATGCTTATTCCATGCACCACATCATAGACTTGTGACCTGGGACCCGGAGGTCATCTGGTGCAAACCCCTCATTTCAGAGGAAGAACTAAGGCCCAGATTAGTTAGGCGATTCACCCAAGGCCATGCCGCTAACCGACTAGTACAGACCTAACGATAACCCAGATACACCTTCCACACACTACAAATGTTCTTTGGGTTGTGGGAGATTTCCTGGTATGTAAAAGGCTCCCATTAAGGAATGTCATGGCTCACTTACACGCATCAGGAGGTAACAAGTTTCTCCACTTAAGCCGGTTCTAATGTGAAGAATTTTTCTCAGCATTGCTCAGAGATTTACCCAAAGCATCCACAAAATCTCTCCAACTCCCCAAGATCCACAGAGCCAGGGCAGAAGTTGGGAAAGAATAGCTCTTGGTTTCTCCCAGATTTTTAAACAGAAATTCATTCATGCTTATGCCTGATTAATCAAATGATTGATAATTGTTGGCTCAGGATGCCCATGAGTGGAAAGGGAAGCTAAGTAGATACACCGCTCTCAAACAAAAATTCATTCTTACCATCTGGGTTGCTCTCCACTGAGGTCACCACACAGCCTCGCAAATGAATTGCTCCCAGGGGATCTTCCCCCTAGAGGAGAGAGGAGTCCTTCGTTATGTTTCCAAAGTACAGGGTGTGGCTATACCTTATCCTGTCAGAGCAAAGCCACACACTCATTCTGGTATAGATCAGGGCCCCCCAAAATAGATGAGTGGAAGGAAATTAAAAGTCGCCCCTTCCAAGTCCCCCACCCACCACCTCACCCAGGGAGATGGGGTGAGGAGACACAAGTCAATCTTAGCTTCATATCTGGAGAAAGTGGGAGGGGACGTGGAAAGGCTGAATCATCGTGTCCCACAAGAGAACTGCATGTTTCCGGAGCTCTTTGGCCTCATGCAACTAACACTCATGGGAGGGAACCGAAGAGGCAGGGGACCCAACCCAGATGGAGTTGTCTTTACATTCAGAGTTGGCTCATTTCATTGAGGAAAAGCCCCCTTCAATACTCAACAGTCTAAGCGCCTAGATTTAAACAATGCTTTCATCCAAGTTGGCCTGAAAGAGAAACTAACACTTGTTTGCATATTAAACCAGGAACAAAGTGTTGAACTGGTTGAATCCCTCTGAAAATATTAGATTAGAAAAAATAAAACAAATTCTGTTGAGTTGACTAATAAATGACAATTTAGTGATATTTTCGTCCATCCCTGAGCTATGCCTCAAAGCCTAAGATCTCAAATCTTTGCAAATAAGAGGAGGTAGAAAACGGTCGCGACAGGTGGCAGAAAAACAAAAGTGGGAGGGCGAAGAGGGGAAGGGGATACCAGCAGAGCAGAAATGGGAGTGGAAAGCCCCATGAGCAGATGCAGCGGAGGCTGCCAGTAGGATGGGCTCGTTGGCCACAGAATCTCACCCCAGCTGGGTCATAGTAATGCAGATATGCAGGGTCTTCTCTCAGAATGAACTTCCTCACTTTCCAGTTCTTCCTCCGATGCCCCTATATCCAGGAACAACATAAGAAAAGGAATGATGAGTTCTTGGCATCGCTCGGTATATATAGCACCTGCAAAATAAATCTTGGCTGAATTGAAAAAAAAAAAAAAAAAAGATGAAATACTAATTCTAGGAGAACCAGGCCCCAACTCAGATCTTTGTCAGAGAGTTAGCACGGTAGCCCATGAACAATTTGGATATCATTAAACTATAGATTAGCCCTAGCCGGTTTGGCTCAGCAGATAGAGCGTCGGCCTGCGGACTCAAGGGTCCCGGGTTCGATTCCGGTCAAGGGCATGTACCTTGGCTGCCGGCACATCCCCAGTGGGGAGATGTGCAGGAGGCAGCTGATTGATGTTTCTCTCTCATCAATGTTCCTAACTCTCTATCCCTCTCCCTTCCTCTCTGTAAAAAATCAATAAAATATATTTTTTAAAAAAATAAATAAGCTATAGATTAAATTATTGCTAAGATTGCCTTCCAACTTGATATTATACAAAACAGTACTCTGTATGTGCAATGTACTATGTTAGGTAATGTGGGGGCTATAAAGAGATTTAATTTAAGACATGTCCCTTCTCTTTTTTTTTTTTTTTAAATATATTTTATTGATTTTCCACAGAGAGAAGGGAGAGAGATAGAGAGCCAGAAACATCAATGAGAGAGAAACATCGATCAGCTGCCTCCTGCACATCCCCCACTATGGAAGTGCCCGCAACCCAGGTACATGCCCCTGACCGGAATCGAACCCGGGACCCCTCAGTCCGCAGGCCGACGCTCTATCCACTGAGCCAAACCGGTCCTGGCTGTCCCTTCTCTTCATAGAGTTTATAGTCTATGTGGGAAAATAAAGTATCAAATAGTTGGTATAGATAATCGATTTGAAAAAAATTAAATGAGAGATATGTAATTTGGGGTTTGGATGTCAAAGAAAGTCTTATAAAGATCTATGCCTATCCACATGGGTGAGAAAAGGGTAAGTAAGAAGACAATTGACAACAAAACAGCAGTAAGAGCAGTCAGACTAGAAGGCAGGAGTCATGAGGAACAGTCCAGTCAAGATTGGAAAAGTGGAAAAAGACTTAGTAAAAAGGTGGGGTTGTTGCTGAGTCAGAAGTAAAAAGATTACAATCACATTTTAGGAAGATTGATGTGGTGACAACATACAGAATGAACTAGCTGGTTAAATTAAAGATAAACCAGGGGCAAGATAATAAGGTAAAAAGAAAGTCATTAAGAAATGATTGCAACAATTCAGGCATAAAATTATCAGGGACTAACATCAGATAGCAGCAAAAGAAATGGGAGGAATAGCTGCTGTGCCAGACATGATGAGAAGGAAGAATAGTACTTCGCCTTTTCCAATAGAATGACACACTGACACTGTGGGTTTTAAGGGCAGAATTTGTGTCTTGTTTGTCTTTGGTCCTCCAATGCCCAGCACTGTGCCTAGCACAGGGGAGTGCTTCCTGTCTATTGCCTTGAATCACCCAGTTATTTCAATTAGCTTATAACATTTTATTAAAATGTCATGATAAAGCTGATTGCACGCTTTCCCACAGAAATTCAAATGACTTGAATAACTCAGAAGCCAAAAAATACCGTATTAGATGAAAAGATATGGAGTTTCTATCTTGCCAGTACAAAGAATGTTGTTCCCTAACACTCCACACATTGACAGGCACATCAATGAATTTCCCAACATTTTTTCATTGTGTGCATATAGAAAGCAATGAAACATTTACAATTTTAGCAAACAGTGCCATAATTCCAGGTCAGAGGAGTTTAAAGGGAGCTTTCAAGAATGGGTCTAGTTATTTGGCCAATCATTTGGTCAAGGAGCTCATGTCAAAAGAGTCTTTTACTTGCATGAAGGTTGAAGCCAGGAAGTCTGTGAAGTCATATAGGAGAATACAGAATATTTCTATCTGCTATTTCACATTCAGAATGGCTTTTGCAAAGCATCAACTTCTAAAGTTCTTCTTATGAATTTCTGCTCTTCGCCTTAATTGATGTTGCCCATAAAATGTGGACACTAAAGTTTCTGCCCGCATCGTTTTATCCTGATCTGTGTATGTGGCATATCCTCCTATGAAATGACTTGGTGAATACCAACTTCTCATGAGTCAATGGAAGAGGAAGGTAACAGGAAGATGTGAAATCAGCCAACCCTGGCCACCAGCATAATCCCTTTAAGCCCTCACTGGCATCACAATGTGACAATTTGAAGAGTTTGATATTCTGCCTGGACAGCTTTCATCTAATGAGCATTTCCTGAGGGATTTTAAGGAATGCATGGGTGCCTAGGGCTTCCAAGAATTGTTGCTGATCTGTCAAAGTAATCTACTTACATTTTATTTAATTCATCCTACAAATGTTTTTTGCCTATTATAGACCAAGAAGGATGCTGAATTCTGCAGCAGATACGAGAAAAACATACACGTATAACACATTGTCCTTCCTCATCAAAGAATCTACATTGGTTGAGAAACCAGACATTTTATCCATTGTCACAACAGAATGAATTATATTTAAAAAGATTATATCGAATATAATCCAATCTCATTGGTCCTAGAATTTGTTACATTCCCCCAAGTAGAATTATTTCCTCTAGGATGGGAGAAGTGGGGAGGAAAGATGGGGAGGAAGGGGCGGACTCCAGTTGGACACTGCTTCTTCACCATTTAAGGTGTGAAGCACAGGTGTCTTTTTTCAAGATCAGCATTCTATGCAGGTTAATGGTTGCTAACTCCTAGCAGTAGACACAGGGCGGGTTAGTTTTTGTGCCACTTAACAAGGACATTTTAACAATTCCCTCCGATGACTCTGATATAAACCAGTGAACTAAGAGGAAGGAAACATTAAAGGGGGCTGTCAATTCAAATAGAAGAGGTTTTTGTTCTTTTCCCCATCGGCCTCCCAAAAAAAGAGAGGAAAGAATATTGTAAAAGAACAAAATTCCTGAGTGCACATAGATTTCTGTTTTGTTTATGTTTAAAGGAGGTTTATAAGGATGGCTATTTAAATAGTAGTGTTCTGATAATAGGATAAATTAGCTTTTAGGTAAAAGGCTAGCTCTGTGGTTTTCAGCCTGGCCACACACCAATGGGAGCTATAAAATCCAGAGACTCTAATCTAATTGGCCTGGCATGCAATTTTAACAGGTCCCTGGAGGATTAGAGTGTGCATCAACAGGGCTAGCTAAGGCTAAACGGTAGCTAGCAAAGGCCGAGTAAAGGCAGGCGAAGGAAAACATGGAAGCATGCCTACTCTGGTCCCCACTGTCTTCAACAGGCACTCAAGCACCCATTACCCTCAGCCAGATTTTGACCCTCCAGGGCTTGCATTGGGGTACTTATGCAGTCCAGCTCAGACTTCGTTCAGCCCTTTTCAACCCTCACGTTCAGTTTTCTCAGGGCTCCTCTCTAGACTAGGGCTTCTCAGGTCAACTAATTCAATAAGTCATTAATGGCTGATAACAATACAGAATTCTACAAGGAATCAACAACGCAAGAAAATAACGAAATTCCCTCCTAAGGAACTCTTGTCTTAACGGCCACCTCCCAGCACCTGTAATCAAAGAGCCAGGATTAAACTAAAGAGGAAGCCAGCAATGGGCAAACTGTCCATCTTCCCTATATAAGGCTGGCCTTGCTCCTATGGTCACCCTGTCATAAAAGTCATTACAAGACTCTGTGAAATCTTTCTAAATCCTTGCTGTACTATTTCTTAGGACCCTGATGTTAAGGTAGTTTACCACACTAATGCCCCAGTTCCCCTAGTGAAACTCGGAATCCACGTCTATACCTAATTTCAGCTAGCCCAAATCCCTTCTTTCTAAAAGTAAATATATACTCAACATTGGTTCTCCCTTCTTTGCCCTGAAAGTTCAGGGGTCCATTACAAGGTAAGTCAAATCTCCGTCCCACAGGGCCTATAGACAGTGCACAAAAATCTCCTTACAGCAACCAGATTCTCCCTGTTATATGCTGAGCAGTGCCTGTAAGACAGCTCGCAACACAACCAGAAGGGCAAAACCTTGGCTTCATCAAGCAGCTTTTGCTTCTGTGACACCATGTGCTAGTATCAGTTGATTTCATCCTGATATTCCCATGTCTTCCTGTTGCTTCTGCCTCTACCAGGTGCTGGCCCTGGCTTTCTCGCTCGCCACAGCCCTTAACTCTCGGCATCTCATGCCTTGGCAGCTGGTAACTAACTACAGCTCTTCAGCTCACCTAGCCCTTGCCTCCCAGTCTAATGCTAGCCTATACCTGCGGACACTTGAGAACTACACATGACTTCCCCCCAGGACTGAGTCCATGCCCTCTCACTGGATTTGACCTTCGTCTGCCGCTTCTGCAGAGTTGGCCTCAGGCATGCCCCGGATTTGGTTTCACTATGTCCTACCCACAGGCTGGAATGGCACTTACTTGCTCTCAAGCCTATATGATGTTCCTCCTCTGGGTGTGGCTTATTCCTGTTTCCTGGTTACTTTGGGGGCAAGTGGAGGGGGAGGGATAAGCAAATGGAAGTATTTTTATTATGAAATATCTGTCTTTTCCATGCCATGGCAACTGATTTCTTCCAGCTAATTAAAAGATCAATAATTTTTTTGAAACATCTTTTTCCCATGATGTTGTTAAAAGAGTTTCCTTTTTTTGAAGTGCATCTTCTGCCCTGCCTGCCTCTGTCCTCCTGTCCTAATGCCACTTTGACCATTTACCAAGCTATTTGTCCATCTCAGTCTGCTGGTTTCATTTACTGGTTGACTATCAGCCAAAGGAAATATCATTTGGTGGTTTAGAAATGAAAAGAACCTGAGAAGAGGGAAAGGCTAAAAGGCAACAGTAATGGCCACTCACCTGCTTCAGTAAACATCCTTGCTTGATAATGACCCCTCTGAATTCTTCTTTCAGAATTATATCATCATCACTGGAATTCTCTTCACAGAAGAACCCACTGTCTGGCTATTGGGAAAGGAAATAGCAAGTTTATTTTACCAGTTTTAGGCATATTGTTATGTGTACCATCTTTACACACACACACACACACACACACACACACACACACACACACACACACACCCTGCACCACTTCCAGCCACTGGCGTAGGCTCCTTCTTCTCCCCCAGTGGCTCATATCCCAACCTGAACTTTAAAGGCTGTCCTTGGATCTCAGAGGGAAGGGGGTGGGGGTAATCAACCAAAGACCTTGTATGCATATATGCATAACCCATGGACACAGACAATCGAGTGGTCAAGGCCTGGGGCAGAGGGGGTGGGCTGGAAGGGGTCAATGAGGGAAAAATGGGGACATATGTAATACTTTCAACAATAAAGATTTATTTTTTAAATATTATAAATAAATAAAATAAACAATAAAAAATAAAGGCTGCCCTTGGTTATCTCATTTCCCCTCCCCCTTAATAATCTTGTTTCTAGAATCTAGATGCTCTTCCTCTCCTTCCACTCATGTGATCTTGCTGAAATCCTTTCATTTTCTTGGGTTCCCCATGCTACACATACTTTAAGTCTAGCTCAGCACATTTCTTCCTTCAAAGCCTTCCTTCTCTTTGGACCTCAAAGCCACATCCTCAAAAGCAGAGTTGGCTACTTTTTAAGACATTGCACAACAAGACCTCCACTATGATCTCTGCCACTCAGCCCTCTTCTGCTTTGAGAAGACCAAGAGCAGGTGCCCAGCCTCAACCCCTGAGGTCAGCAGTGAACTGGGTTTTGCTCAGCTGTAAGCAAGCAATGAATCATACAGAGAAAGAGGAGCTGCCGGTTTGCCGGGAGCCGGTCCATCCTTGCTGTTTCAAGGGACCCGGCATATATGGCATACTGTTCTTAATATGTTTGCTCACCTTCTTGGCACTATGTGTTTGAACCAAGGTCTCCTCTCTGAGAAAGGTTGTTTTCCCAGGTAGGGATTTTCCCCTGAAGTTAGAGAGGGAATAAAACCTCTTAACTAAGTGCCAGGCGGGTAATTAATCACTTTAACTATGAACAATCATGCTTAAGCTACATAATCTTTACTCCCTGGAATGGAGATAAGAAACGCCCTAACCTTTGGAACAGAGATTGATAGGATTGAATCAACTGGTATAAATACAGATGTAAGAAGACAGAACCAAGAAGACAGAACTTAGAAGACAGAACCAAAGAAGACAGAACCTACACAGAACCTAGAGACAGAAGAACTTCGCTGGAGAGAACATGGCAAAAGATCCTGGACTGAACCTGACTACAGAAATTGGCAAGAGAACCTGACTAGAACCTGGTGACTGAACCTGGCTGGAGAACCTGGAGAACCTAGCAAGAGAACATGGACACAGAACCTGGCTGGAGATCCTAAGCAGAACCTCTCTGGAGATCCAGACCAGAACTTGGCTGGAGATCCTGGCTAGGCTGCTGATCAACTGAACACTGTCTCCGTGTCCTTCCTTCTTCGCCGACTCCGTCCACACCTTTGGGGACCCCTGGACCTGCTGGGGTTGGACCCCGGCAAGGAGCCACTTTTTAAGACCTTCAATGGGGAGGACTTAAGAAGCTCTAGCCCAATACCCTGGACTCAGTAACACATTAAACAGGAAATAAGCCTGGCCTGGACTTTGTGGCTGGATATTTTTAGAATCCCACATTTAAATGGCTATAAGCAGCCAAATTAGAGGTCTTAAAAATATGTATGCTGACAGCGGAACTTCCCCCAAAGTGAAATGAAACTCTCTCTGGGACATTCACATCATTTTTGTAAAAGGCTCTTAAGTAGCTTCCTAACTTCTGTGCTCTGACCCCAAATAGAAACAAAACTGCCAAAACTCCCCTGGAAATTCACTGTTGCAGGATTTCTCACGTGGCCCAGGTTTAGGCCCACATTGTGTAATATCCCGTGTTTCCCCATCTGTGGTTAACACAGATGATTGGGGGAGGGAGTGCCAATGCATACATTTTGCATTAAGTTGAATATTTGAATGTATATTTGAGAAAATATACAATCAGCATAATGTGATTTTATGGATCGCCTCTAGAAAGGCAGCTCCACGCAGGCTGCAATTTTTTTTTATTTTATTGCTATAGCCTCTTTGTTTTTATAAATGAATTATTGCTTAGAATAAGAATAGATGTAAAGCTTTAAAAGTCATTTTAAAGCAAACTACTCAAGTAAACAATATTTTCCTTTGAACTGGCTCACTTGGATGTGGCAGGCATTGAGCTGGGGGACAGCTGTCAAGGCGAGAACAGCTAACAACTCTGGGGAGAGGGCTGGGTCTCGCTTTCACACATGTGGGTGGCCCAGCCTCGAATCTGCCCAGAGCAGCCTCCATGACAGGAAGAGTAGCTAAGCGGCTTCTCTCACTTACAAAGTAGTAGAAGGCATCAGGGTTGTCCAGGAAAGGGTTTTCAGCAGTCCCATCCACGGCGTTCTTGGACAGGTCTCCGGCAGGCTGCAGGTACCCTTCGTTGAGCAGTGAGGAGGCGATCATGAGGCCTTCCTGGCGATTCCGAACAGACTTGTTGGAGAGCAGCCAGTCGATGACACAGTTACCTGGATGGAGCCATCAGAGGGAAGGTTAACTCTCCTAATCAAAGAACAAACCACTGACCATCACCCCTGGAAAGCCCCAGAGCACCCGCGTGTCTGACTTGTCTCATCTTCCCTGTTATTCCAGGAAGGAAAAACAAAATCAGTGGGATAGCTGCCCGGAAACAAACAGAACTATGTAAAGGGTTTTGTTTTGTTTCTCTTTTCTTAAATCTGTAAGTTCTTTAAGAAGCAATGCATCATTAAAGAAATAGTTCTTTACCCACTTGCACTTAAGTCTTATATATCTTGATTCCTGCCTATTCTTTTATTCAGCTCTGTGTCTATTTTAACATAATACCATTTTTTGGGAGAAAAAAATGACTCTTTGATTGATATAGCTGGCATTTCCAAAACAATATCTTGGACAACAAAGTTCTTTTCTACCCTTCATTTTATGTCCATGCTGGAGAAGTTCAATTCTCATGTTCACCAGTCATCCTCCTATGACCCCGTCTACCCAGCCTGCTACACACGCCCCTCCCCACACATATGGCTGAGCGGGAACTCCATATTGCCTTCCCCAGCTGCCCCCTATCAGACTTGCAAGACCTTTTACCTGTGAAGCAGTGATTAAAAATCTTCTTGTCCTTCTCTAGGTTCAGCTCTTTTATTCCTTTTTCCGTGTCTTTCATGGACAAATACAGAGCCCTACACAGAGTTGAAAACAGATGGATGAGTGGGGAGCATTTCAGAATGGCAAGTCCTCGCAGGGACCTTGAGGAGCTGGCCAAGAACACTAGCTTTTCCCCTCCCAGGTGGCCCCTGTGCCTAACCTCCCCACCAGAACACAAGTAGCTAAAGGGCAGAGTTGATATTTGCATAATTCTGTGTCTGGCATGGCATTCAACAGAATGCAGTAGGGAGATAATTATTAGTTCTTAAATTCATTGAGCTTTTTGTTGATTTAAGTCCCAATGCCTGAGAGAGAAAGTTAAGTGGCAAGGATTAAGGTTCTCAGGGCCAGTTTTCCACTCTAATCTTCAAGGTCCCTTGATTTTCACATCCCAGTCCTTCAAGTGTCATTAAGAGACCATCTAGACTAGACATTCATTGCCTCCAAGAAAGCAAATGTTTTAGCTAAGCTTATCTCTTATTCTATTATGAGACAAGGCAAAATAGTGAGAAGTTCTCATTTTTGTCCTTGAAGTAATAAACTCAAGATAGCCTTAGAAGAGTAATACCCTTTGTAATACTTTAAGCAATAAAAAAAAAATAAATAAAAAAAAAAGAAGAGAAACTGCCAACAAGTACCCAGAAAGCCCCTTTCATGTATCATGTGGTTCCATATAGCGCAAACACCATTCCCACTTAGCTCTGACAGCCATGGCCAGAAATGTGGTCACTTGATGCCCCCAGCCAGCAGCTGCACTAGACCAGGAGCCTGCTCTTGGGTCTTTACCCAAAAGCTTTGCTGGTGAGAGAAGATTCTAAGTCTCCCCAAGCTCATTGTACAAACTTAAACTCCTGTGACATGCCAAGTCCTGTGTTAGGCTGCTGAAAGGATTTGTCTTTGGTCCCTCTCAGGGACAACCACATTGTGTAAACAGAACCCTTCTTGAACATTTTTAGCAGCCAACATGGAATACTTTCTGACTGGGCTCCTATTTCAGGTTATACTTGACATAGATGCAAAACTATCAGGAAGCAATGATTCTTCTAGAAAAAAAAAAGCTCATGTGATAGAAGGAGATATGAAACATGCAGAAAGGAAGGAGTCCTGTTCCTGTCACGGGCTGAATTTTCCTGTGAGCCTCTAACAACCTTTAGTCAACAACTATCACCTGCAATTCCAAGCCAGCCAATGTCATAGGACGTTAAACCAGGCCAGGGTTTCTGCCCAGAATGGGTGTTCACCTTGACTGGTCCTTGCTGACAGTGTGAATATATGCACTTGAACTCAAAACCTTGCATACATGGATGCAGACCCCCTGCCTTTTCCTCCCTACCCAGACATCCTGGAGCATTCTTTAAAGACTAGCTTATTATGGCTACTTCATAAATGCAATAGGTTCTATCTCTCTGTCTCTCTCTATCTCTTTGGATCTCTTTCTCCGCCAAGATTTCTTCTCCAAGGTTTTCCAAAATGAGGGAATCTATATTCCAGTAGCTTTGTCTCCTCAGCTGCTAGGCCTTGGAGAAGCCATGATCACTCCTTCAGATCCAGGTAAACATCTTAGTACACCAAGAGCCAGTATCGGCCTGGAAGGGTGAATATAGCCTTCAGAGGTGACCAAAGCAAGCCCTGGAACATCTCCTCAAAGGGGAAAAAAGAAGGGGTAGAAGGAAGCAAACACAGAAAATCACCCTAAGTCAACGGTTTCTGGAAGTCGAATAGATCTCCTGGTGGATTTCCTCGCAAACTTCTGGCCTCCTTCAATGCACTTAATGGCCTTCTTGATGTCTCGAACCCAGCCATCTCTCTCTTCCAGGAAGGCTGCCTGGAAGAAGTGGTCCTGCTGTTTGGTTGTAGTGATCTTAAACACAAACTGAAAATAAAAATACATGCCATTAGGAATCACTCTTTTCAAGGGGCTGAGGTCCCTTATGAAGCACAGCAGTTGAGCCAACCCTGTCCTGGAAGTACTTGGCCAACAGAGACCCAAATGCCCAGGGTGGTGGTGAGGGAACTAGTCCGGGGGGAACCAGTCATACTGTAGGCTGTGCACAGGCTCAAAGGTCAGTGTCTGACCAACCATTCATTGTGGCTATTAATGTCAACTCACCATCCTTTTGCCGAAGTCCTGACAGGGACTAGTCAGAGTGCTTCCTTTCAGAGGAATCATTCCTTTGGGGCTGTTGTCACTTTTCTTCTTATAGAATTCAATTCCATCTTCTAACAATACAACCCACATGGGTTTCCAGGTGTTGAACACACTCCCCTGTAATGACAACAAAAAGTCACGTAACAATATTTTCTAAAATTGTTCTATAGATGAGGCAGGACTTGGTAAATAGCCTACTGTTGACCAGTGTGGACTCAGATGACCCACATTTGTGTGATCAGGGTGCTAGGCAAGCAGCCTTCAAGGAAGAAGGGACTGCCATTCTTCTGGAACTTTAAAAAAATATTTTTAAGATAAACTGTATGCATGTTCATAATCGGCCATAAGCCTCTCATGGGTCATTACCAAGGGAATATGGGATGGATCTCTACTCTTCTTCTTGTGCATTTCAGGCTGGCTTTCTGCTCCCACCCCTGCCCATTGTGTTCAGTTCAACTCAGGGATGGCCAATAGATTCTATCTCAAGTGCCAGGGCAGACTGAATAGTAGCCGAAGCCCGAGGCCGGACTCATGGGGAAAGTGACATGATCAACAGCTGTGTTTGCCTCAGGTGTGGAGGCCATAAAGGTGGCGTGCTCGCTGCAGTTCCTTCCATCCTGTGGTCTAAGATTTTATCTGAATGTGAATGTCAAGAAGAAACTCAGACAGCAGCCTTGCGTTCAGGATGGCTAAGTTGTATGAAAATCCCTTGAAAAATGGTCTGTGATGCCAGACTGTTGCCATCCATGCTTTTAGGAAGATCTTTATTGGAAAAGTTTTCAGTTTGGACTAATGTCAACAGCCCCTGTAGCAGTACATTAACTGTTCTGACTAAATCAAAGAAGTCTCTCTTTTTTGTCCATATTTTGGGAGAGTTTGGGAAAATAAGGTTCTTTGCCTCTCACCATTGGACCCATGAGGTCACCCTGTCATCACTTCCACAAAATAGAATTATCATCCAGCTCCCAGAAGACCTTGCGGCTTATCTTAACATGCAAAGAGCCTCTATATTAAGGTCAGTTGCCCAAAAGGAAGTCTATTTATGCAAAAAGGTTAAGTACTTGTGGGACTATCATTTTGTATCATTTTGCTTGTCCAAGTGTTTCCTTTATTTTAGTTACTAAAAGAACTTTTAAAATTAGAACCCACTATCTCTTTTTCGCACAGGCAGAATGACTATCCATACTAACACTAGACTGTTTTCCTTTCTTAAAAAATGGGGAAGGTCAGATACTGCAAACACAGGAAATAATTTCAGTTAAATGTCTTTCTGCTTTACATCTGAGAGAAACTTATATCCAGAATATAAAGGGTTCCTGCAAATCAATAAGGAAAATAAAATCTATTTTTTAAATGGGAAAACAACTGCAAGAGGCATTTCACTAAAGAGGTTATCCAGCCCAGCTCAGTGGTTGAGTGTCAGCCTATGAACCAGGAGGTCATGGTTCAATTCCCAGGCAGGGCACATGCTTGGGTTGCAGGCTTGATCCCTAGTAGGGGGCATGCAGGAGGCAGCCGATCAATGATTCTCTTTCATCATTGATGTTTTTTATCTCTCTTTCTCTCCCCTGCCCCTTCATCTCTGAAATCAATATATATATATATTTTAAAGAGGTTATCAAAAAAGTATCTGAAATGATGTTTGGCATCATTATTCACTAGGAAAATGCAGATTAAAAGCACAGTGAGATACCTCTACACATCATTAGAATATCTAACATTTACAAAAATTAAGAAGAGCAAGACTTGGCAAGGATGGTAACTGGAATCCCAATATGTGGTGGGCAGGAGTGCAAGATGGCACATCGAACTGGAAAATGTCCTAATTCTTAGGAGATATATGTTGAATTACTGAGGAGTGAGGTAGCATGATGTCCGCAGCTTATTCTCATGAAAATTGTGTGTATATTTATATAGAAATACAGAGATAGAGAGATAAAGCAAGTGCGAACATGTGTTAACAATTGATAGATCAAGGTAAATAGTATACAGGTAGTTGTACTCATTTTCTCATTACTCTGTGGGTTTTAAATTTTTCAAAATAATTGGGGAAAATTAATAAATAAATGAACAACACAAGACACTACTATAGAGTAAAATCTAGGTTATACTTTCAGGGAAACATAGAAATAGGTGTATAAAATAATGAAAATAATAAAAGCGATACTCACAGAGCTAGGAGCAAAAAGTTGGACTAAATGACCCTGAATACCTTTCATGTCTAAAATTGTATATTCTACCTCAGGCCCCTCAGAGATGAATAACTGCCACAATCACTCAGCAGTTTTGACCTTAGTATTGGGATAAATTGGGAGAGGTCAGCCAGCACTGCATTCCTCCTATAGGCAATTAAAGTAAAGCTACTCCTAATTCAAATGTAGCCTCAGGGGTCTGTCAGTTCGCAGAGCAGGAGGTGTCATTTGGGATTCAGGGCCATTATGCACATTGAGAAGGCTGATCCTCTGTAAAACAAGGGAAATGAGACCAGCCTCTTAGAGTGGAAAGTTTCTTCCAGGCTTGGTAGGAGTTAGCTGGGTTAGGATGATGGAATGACAGGTGATCTCTGTTCTCCTAGCCATGGCTGCAGCCACCAGCTTCTCACTGCAGTAAACGACAGCACCTCCTCCCCACTACCACTGTACTGACCCCTTCCTGTCCCCAACCCCCTTGGCACTCACCCAAGAGCAAACTGGGCAGTGTGATCCTGAAATGTCCAGGGCACATTACACCTGACCAGTTCATGTGGAACTGGAACTAGAATCCAGGGCTCTTGATTCCCAATTTTATGCTCTTTCTACTTCCCCTCAGATGCTATCTTCATTTTGGTTCCTATGTACCTTTGAGTAATTCTGGAACTTAAATCAATTTTTTCAGGCCATTTAGCTAGCTATACATAAAATCATGGTTATAACTTTATATAATATGTTATATATATACATATATATATACACATATATACATATATATCATATGTCTGAAGTATTGAGGGGTGAGGTATTATTTGTATTTTTCTGTAATGCCTTTTGTCATTATAGAAGAAAACCTCTACAATGTACAATGGGTGTATTTTAGATGCTGAATTAGGTTTATTAATGTTTCCCAGGGAACAGCTGTTGATCATCATGGTACTGGTATAATTTAGTGCACAAGACTCTGACATTGCATAATGCCAAAAGAAGAAATATCAAAGGATGAGATATTTGACTGTATACTTTTAAAAAATGAACTTCTGTGCATTAAAAAAAACACAGCAAAATAAAATGTGGACATTTGTAATATGCCATATAATTAAAAGTTAACATGTTTTTAAGAACTTTTTAGAATTATTAAAAATGTATAGAAACACTCCTTAAATGGGCAAACAATATAAATAGACCATTTTCAAGAGAAGAAATACTCAGGCTCAATAGACATAAAAATGTACTGCTTCAATAGTACTCAAAGAGACAAAAATTAAATAAGATATAATTCTGTCCATTGATAAGATTTTTTAAAAGATTTATAAAATATATTGGTGAAGATTTGGGGAACTGGGCATGAAAAGACAAAAAGGAGCCTTATGAGCAGCAGTTTGATGTGCACTATTTTTTAAAAAGCCTAAAGTGCCCTGGCTGGTTTGGCTCAGTGGATAGAGTGTCGGCCTGCGGACTGAAGGATCCCGGGTTCAATTCCAGCCAAGGGCACATGCCCAGGTCACAGGCTCGATCCCCAATGTGGGGTGTGCACAAGGCAGCTGATCAATAATTCTCCCTCATCATTGATGTTTCTATCTCTCTTTCCCTCCCCTTTCCTCTCTAAAATCAATTATATATATATATATGAAAGCCTAAAGTCATTGTAGGCCATATAGAAGCATAAGATCTAAAGTGAGGACAGTAATATTCTGACTTTAAGTGGTGCATAACCAGTAGGTGACCACGTCTCTGGAGCTGGGTGGTCCAGGCTCAAATCCCAGTTCTGCCACATTCTACCAATGGGATCTTGAGCAAGTTCTTATACCTCATTTTCTACATCTGGCAAATGGGGACAATGTTACTATGTATTTTTCAGCATTATTGGGAGATTAAATAAAACAATTCATGTAGATTGCCAATGGCAGTATCTATTCTAGCACATAGTAAGTGCTCAATAAATAGCACCTATGTCCTGTAACTCTGTGCTTATCAGGTGTACCTGGAGGACGGCCTTGCGTTTAGGAAACCTCAGGGCTGCAGGTAAACCAGAGCCTGTTCAAAAGAGAAGGACAGGTTGGCATCTCTTTGGGGAAATTGTTGAAGAAACTGGGTAGGTTTCAGCCCCAAAAGGAACAAGCAGAGCTGAGGAGGACTGTCTTCAAAGGTGTCAAACACTGTCACAGATCATGGAGGTTTCAGAAAAAACAGTTTACGCATAACTTAAGAGAGAAAGTTAAATTAGTGAGTTCTCTGACACAAGAGGCATTCAAGCATGCTTGCTAACAGAATAGCAAAAGAAATGCGGCCTCAGGTGGAAAATTCAGTTAAAAGTTACTTTAATACTTAATACTCCTTTCAACCCTCAGATTCTACACATCTATTCCAAAAAAGGCTGTTGTCCTTACTATGCCTGTGGATACCCTCAATTTCAAGATATCCCTTTGGGTCTCTCCTACAAGCCAAAAATAAGTAAAGTTCTAACACATATTTAACATGATCACCGAAAAATGAATACCCCATTGGAAAAAATTTAATACATTATAAGTTACTGTAATATGGACCCCCAATGCTTTGGTTTCTATGATTTAGACAAGTTTCTTCCTTTGAGACATGTTCATTCAACAAATAATGACAGAGCAACTCCTGTGCTTCAGACACTGGCCTGGGCGCTGGGGTGGAAAATGAGTAAGACAGTCTCTGCTCTTAAATGATTCACCGTCTCACAGGGGGAGAGAGTGACCTTGAATGACACCTCCAGTTCAATGGAAGGATGCAGAGTATGAGCAGTGTCACTGAAAAAAGCCACGACTCACTGCTGTGGGTTGGGGCAACTTTATTATGTTGTTTAGAACCCCTCCCAGGTCACTTCCCAGGGAGTGAGGACACCTCCTTTAACTTCTCCTTTCCCTCAAACTTCTCTTTTCACGTGTTGACGTACAGCTGGAATTCAAAGGAAAATTACCTTATGCTCAAAACTACGTGTTTAACTAAAGCAGAACTGTGAGTCGGCATGACCTATTCTCCCACACTCATGGGCGTGTTACTTCAAGTTGGTGTTGCATCAAATTACATCCTTATTTCTGCTGCATTGTAAATTGTATCTTCTGGTTTTCCAACCTGATCCATGAAATCACTTGTATAAAATCCCAGATAAGTGGTTGTTTTGTACCTATTTTAATTTTCTGAAGGCAAGGAAACCAGTGTATTCCCTAATATGTTTTTTTACATTAGTCAAATCTTCCAGGTTGGATAATTTCTCAATAAAATCATACTGGGTAAGCAATAGAGAAATGGTACCGGGTGCTTAACAGCATGATTTCTGTCTTAGGAATTTGGGTTCAAATTTGAAGACAGTCCCCATAGACAAGTTACTTAATTTTTCCAAACATTAGTCTCCTCACCTGTAAAATAAAGGTAATATTGTACTACTTCCCACTGTTGTAAACATTAAATGAAATATACTTAAAGGGCTTAGTACTATGGCTAACTTGGGGCAGGTGCTCAAAAGTGGTTAGCATATAGGCAGATGGGATTACACAGTTTTGTAGGCAATTCTGTGAAATCATTCTGGCATAAGGTTATCCTGGGTACCAGCCATCACGACAGCCGTGCTTTGAAACCTAAATCACTGCAATCCGAGCCCAAGAGGGCTGCATGTAACACGTTTAGGCTCAGCTCTCTTTGACACTGAAGCCACACTGCTGGGTTCCAGTCCAGCTATGCCACCTAATAGCTGTGTGACCTTGGGCAAGCCTCTTAGCTTCTCTGTGCCTTAGTTTCGTCATCTGTCAAGTAGGGCTAACAGCTGTACCCACTTTGTAGGGTTGTTGTAAGTATTAAGTGCATTGATGCTTTCAATCTGTCCCTGCTGCAAGGCAAGCACCACATCTATTAGTTATTAAGATGATGGGAATCAATGGGTACAAATCACTGGAAACTATTTCATGGTACTGTGTCCAGAAGACAATGTAGCTGTGAGAAAAAGTCCTAGGCCAACACCCCTGACTCCTGTTCTCTCTCTTACCCCAGGCTTTCCTCCTGCAACCACACCTCTCGCAGGGCCTTTTCTTTCCTGTCCAACCCGCTTGTCCTTGGGCACCCCAACTCCTGTCCTTTCTCCCAGCCCAAAAGACCACCCAAACCTCTAAGCTTACAATTGGGATCAGTTCTGCTACATGAAGTGCCTGTGGAATTGATTGTCAAGCAATCAACAACAGTTTGCTCCGTGAACTCCCAGGAATGGGGTTGGTTTGGGATGTGACTTGGTAGAGTCCAATTCGTAACCTGCTCCTTTCTCGTTCTTAAAGCTATGCTTATGCACATGAGCAGACCTGCTCCACATGCCCCACCCCACACATAAGGCTGAGCGGGACTCTAGATTGCTTTCCCCAGCTGCCCCATTTCAGACTCGCAAGGCCTTGTACCCGTGAAGCCTCCGTTTTCTCATCTGTAAGACGGGGATAAGGACACTATTGTATAGGATGGTTAGGATTGCATGAGATCTTGTTCACACAACAACTGACTGCTACATGGTAGTGAAGGGAATCAAAGTTTGCCACCCTGAAGCTGCCTTTTTGGGATATTGATTTTGAGATGGTTATTGAGAAATAAAAGGCTCAAAGAAACTCAAGCCCTCCCTACTATCCTTTCCAAGAGGTTCAGCTAGAAAAACCTACTCGAGGAAGGGAACCTTAGGATACTGCCTTAACCAAATTCAAATTAAGTATGGTGAATAGGAGGGCCTCAGGCTGGTACCCCTTAGCTTAGATACCCAGTGTCCCACTGTTTCTGAGTTGCCTAGCAAGAATTCGCCTGCCATGTATACTGTGCTCTTCCTCGACTACCTGTGAATTGCCAATCTCACTTCTGAAGTCTAAGACCGGGTCTCCCACTCCTTTTCTGCTTTGTCAAAAATGCCATATATACCCAATGCCGGCTCACTATCTATGGAATTTTCATGCTTATGTGAATTCCCATGCACATGCATTAAAATTTGATTTTCTCCTGTTAATCTGTCTCTGTTGATTTGATTATTAGCCCAGCTAGAACTTAAAAGGTGAGAGGAAAAGTATTAATTATTTTTAGGCCCCATAGTAGCTTCTAAGTATTTTTGTGTTTGTTTTTTGTTGTTGTTGTTGTTTTGTTTTTGTTTTTTTAGTGACAAGATTCTGAGGCAAGGAAATCCAGGTCTTATTTAGAATGAAAAAGCTATAAAATGACAGAATTATGTATTTTTCTTCCTTTACTTAACTATCATCTCTATTTTAAGATCTTAGCTGACGAAAAGGAGGAAACCTGAATTGTGAAATGTGGGCAGTTTCCTTGCACAAAAGAAAAGCAGAAACATTCCATTGATTACTGATCCCAAGATTTCTGACTTGATAAAATCCTTGCACCAGAGTTTTCCTAGTGTTGTATTTTTTTACCCCAAACTTATTTATCTCCAATAAAGTTATTTCATAAAAGAATAATAAGGAAAAAGATATTTTGATTAACACCTAGGAATCTGAAACTGCATGAGAAAAACAAACAAACAAATAAAATAAAAAAACACGTGCCTGGAGGGAGATTCATACATTATTGCCTGTCATGCCTTAATGTTAAAAACTATAGTCAAGGATTCGCACAGCCTTGCCAGAGAAAGATTTTCTTGGTCCTTGCTTCACTATTAACTTGGCAACCAAGCCAAGAACCAGTAAATATCCATATATATATATATATAAAATTAACCCCCATATATGAGGTACCTGAATGAAACTTAACACCTAAAGAAGTTAAGAACTTCAGCACCTTCCCAGGAAATTCTGGCTTCAGGGGTAGTTCTGCAGCCAACAAGAGAATATTTCTGAAGCAAGCATTTCTTTAAAATGACAAATTAGGGAATCTTAATACATTACAACACAAAGTGTTCAAAAGGTCCCAGAGAAAAATGCAGAAATTACTGAAGATGTAAATATCAATATGAAATTTCACTATTTTTCTTTCTTGTTACATTTTCTAGATTGCCTTTTACAGGCCATGATCTGAAAAAATTAAAAACTATATATTTATTAATTTAAGTCCATAACCCTAACTCTATCATTCCCATTTTCTACTGGGGCAAACTCACTTACTAAAGATTCAGTCTTCTTTTTTTTGGAATTTATAGAGTTTAAAATATGAAAATACACACTTAAAGCAGTTTTTATTACATGATGTTCAAATTATTTTTGAACAAAACAACTTAGCAGAAAATGTTTCCATTTACCCGCTCATCTCAGGATACTAACCGAAGCAATCAGGAAAGAAGTAAGTCAACATTTATTATTTTTGGTCCTCAAAAAGTGTATTGGTGCCTATTGCAAAGAATCTACATGCACCTTTGTGTACATAGGTGTGTCTTTTCCAAAGGATGTTTCAAAAGATGGCCAGCTAGAGAAAATATAAACTGAGTGTTTACGTAGTCTCCCTCACCCGCTCATACCTCTCACTACCATAGATGCATTACAAATCCTAGCTTAGATTAAGTTACTCTGAGAAAATCCTGGTGCACTGACTGAGCTCAGGGCCACAAATCAGAAACTCAGGTCTCAAAAGAGTGGATTTCTGGCCCCAACTCTGTCACAGCCATGTGACCTTGGGCAGTCAGTCACCCAGCTTCCGGGTCTCAATTTCCCCTTCTGTAAATGAGGGAATGAAGCCAGATGATCTAGGGTCCCTTCCAGCTTTAAATTAAAAGAGAATCAGGCAGCAATGTGTCCTGTTTAATCTCCTTGTAAGTAGAACATTTTGGCTAAAATGTTAAACCAACAAACAACCTAGAAGAGTCACTGTAGGCATTCACCTGAAGGCCCATATTGAATTCAGTGCACTTCTGACATGCTTAGCTCACTTGGGAGAGTATGAGTGTACTTATTTATATGTGTATTGCCCACAGGATGCTCATAAGCCCTGAGTGTGAACTCAACATCCTGGAGAGTTTCACAGTGACATGGCATATGCTCACCAGCAGAAGAAAAACCAACAGTACCAACAAAATTCAATTTCCTGATGCTACACCAGTGAGACTAAGCATTTCTGAGTGCATTTGTGTCCTTATTTTCCAGTCTTTAAAATGGTGCTCTACCTACCACTTTAATGGCACGTTGTATAAATTCACTAAGAATTGTGAATGATTTCAGGCCAATAAAAAAGATAGAGTTTTAATGTACCATTCTAAGAAGAAAGCCCAAGTAATAAGCTACATCTTTAATCATTTTCTGTTCTCTCTCCTCAAAAAAAAAATAATAAAAATTAAAAGGAGGGGAATTGGAATTTAAATAACAACTGAATAGTCTCTCCAAATAACCTCTACAGCAAAAGAGTTTGAGTCATAACAGGCATATGTGGCTCTTGAAAAGCATACTGATTTTGCTTAGACCTTTGCCTTCCAGACCCTGTAGCCTGGAGTTCTCAGTCCCACGAGTTCAACCTCTGCTGACACCTGTGCTAGGTAAGTTCACCTTTAAGAACCAGAACGAAGTGGAACCTGTACTGGTTCCCTCCCGAACATTTATTTACATGCTGCGATGTTCTCCTAGTTCAACCCAATAGGTTCAGCTTCAACATTTCTAAAACGAGTGCACAGGGAGTGCAAACTGGACTCTGATCCTCCCAACCCTCTCTCCAGTCACACCCGTGTAGGTGGCGCTTCTGGCTTACCTTTTTCACCAGGTAGCCCTCCCTGATCCGCTTTGGTTCCATGATGGATGGACAAACAGACGGCTGGGTCCACCCTCAGACAAGTCCTCTCAGAAGCTCAGCCTCCTTCTGAGAGCTGAGGCGCTTGTGGGCTGCTTTTCTATGGTGAGGTCCCTTTCACAATTTCCCGTTGGCTGGCGATCGCATGATCACATCCTCTTCCCCTCACTGGGGTGGAAGATCAGAATAAGGAACTGCAGAGAGAAACAACCCATTCTGTGCTAATGCTGGAGACTGTTAAACGTGCAGCTGTAAATTTGTATAACCATAAGGAAAATCATTCTCCTAAATAGAAGGAAAATGGTCAAAAGAAGAGGAAAAATGAACAAGAAAACCTTCTTAGTAGAAATAGTCCTGGCTTTGAAATGATTCTTGAGATCCTAGAAATGCTTAATAAACAGTTCAAGAAATTCACAACCAACAGGTTAGCATAACAAAGGTAGCTACTATTAAATGAATGTCCACTTCTATGCCAAGTACTCTACCGGCTATCTTTCAGCCAGCCTCATTTATTGTGGTCCTTACAAGAAATCCATAGGGGGAAGTTCACTATTGTCTCCAACTGAGACACCAATAAACTCATGCTCAGAAAAGTAAGCAGTTGTCTCAAGGTGACAGAGCAGGTAAGAGGTAGAACCAGAAAAGAAGGGAGAGATCTTACCAGGGTACTGCTGCCTCCCATCAGCCTGAGGACCATTTGACACACAGAGTGCTAACCCTACAGTAGGCTGGAAAGAAAGCAATCCGTACTCAAACATGTTTGAGAAATTGTACATTCCAGTCTCAGCTTAGTGACTCGCCTTTAGATGAACAAATTCGAGTACTGCAGCAGACAGTCTTATTGTAGTGGTGTTTAATCTTGTGTTTCCCAGATTTATTTGACCACCGAATTCTTTTTGAGCAATGTCTATTAACATTCTTGTTGTAGGTTGAATTGTATCTCCCCTCCAAAGAAGTCCTAACTCCTAGCACCTTAGAATGTGATTTTATTTGGAAATAGGATTTTAGGAGATGGAATTAGTTTAGCTAAAATGAGGTCATACTGAAGGAGGTGGGCCCTTAAACCAATATGACTAATGCTCTTATTAGAAGAGGAGTGAAACACAGAGAGCAGACAGCCGCATGACACAGAGGCAGAGATTGGAGTGATACATCTTTAAGCCCAGGAATGCCGAGGATTACCTGCAAGCACCAGAAGCAAGCAAGAGTCTCCCCTAGAACAGTCATAGAGAACATGGCCCTGCCAGCACCTGGATTTCAGACTTCTAACCCCCAGAACTGTAAGACAATAAACTTCTGCTGGTTTAAGCTACGCAGTTGGTGGTACTCTGTTACAGAAGCCACAGGAAACAAGTAGAAATCTGTTAAACTAGCATTCTATGCAGCAAACTTTGAGAATGTTTATCTGGCCATGTGAAAATGGGCGGGTTCTTTAATCCCTCTGTGCCTCAGTTTTCTCATTTGTAAGAAGGGGATGATGACATCTATTCAATGGAGTCATTCTGAAGTTTAAATAAGGTGATATTTGTAAATATTTAGAAAAGTGTCTGGGACATTTAGTAAGTGATTTCTCATTTTCAAAGAGTCTTCATCATTCTGGGGCTGATCCATGTTTTTAAATATATATATACTAGTATATTTTTTATTTCAGAGAGGAAGGAAGAGGGAGAGAGAGATAGAAACAGCAATGATGAGAGAATCTTCAATTGGTTGCCTCCTGCACGCCCCCTACTGGGGATCAAGCCCACAATCCAGGCATGTGTCCTTGACCATAATTGAACCATGACCTGTTTCATGGGTTGACAATCAACCACTGAGCCACATTTTTATAAAACATGAAAAGAATTACTTAAAACAGAGATGCACCGAAACATACATTTTCACATATCCAGGGGCTACAGTTTAGTTTTAAGGTACCAAACATCAGTTCATGGGATATGTACAAATGAAGGTAATCATCAAACAAATTGACAGGGACGTTTTCTTTGCATAAATTGTGGGGCTGATTCTTTTCAATGATAAATTCAACAAAGATTATAGAAGTAATCATAGGACTAGTTTTTGACTAGTTCCCGCTCCTCGTTATATTAGCAGTTTTTGGCTGCAATCAATAGAAGCCAGCTCTGACTAAGACAGGCAAATAGGGATTCACTAGAAGAGTGTGGAGTGGCTAACTTATTCAAATTAAAAATACTCAGGCCTTTGGGGTGTGTGTGTGTGTGTGTGTGTGTGTGTGTGTGTGTGTGTTAATCTTTATGTTGAAAGTATTACGTATGTCCCCTCCCCCCCATTAACCCCCTCCAGCCTGGCCCCGCCCCATGCCCCAGGCCTTCACCACCCTATTGTCTGTATCCATGGGTTATGCATATATGCATTCAAAGAAGACTCAGGTCTTTGAAAGGACAGAAATCAGGGCAGCTGTGGGGTTCCAGGAAGCAAGAACTAAAAGAATTGCAATGGTTTCCAGGCTCTACAGTAAGTTCCAGGGATCCCACCTTTGATGGGACTAGACTGCCTCAGTGCTTCCCTCTCAGCCACCTGGACAGTGCCTGATGGAGGTGGGCTCATCCCCCAAGGTAAAATCAGGGCACTTTTAATAGTGGACGAGTGAAAGGCCCTGCATAGGCAAAACCCCAGGAAATTCAGGGGCAGGAAGATCTGTTCTTGAGAGTTTTTTTCTAACAGTCTCCTGACTCACTCTCCTCCTTTCTTCCAACTCTGTATCTAACCAGCAGTCACTGCCCCTCTATGTTTCACTTTTCATTTTAGGCTAATGTAGTGTTAACATTAAAAAAAAACAAAAAACAAAAAAAACATTGAAACCTGTAAAGAATTTTTGTAAGTTTATTTGAGCCAAACTGTCCACATATGCCAGGAAGCAGAACCTCAATGAATTGAGATAATGCTCTGGAGATTGGCAGGTTACATCTGTATTTATACATTGCAATCAAAGGAAAGGGACGTAGGTGGGTTACATGAAATCCATTGGTTATGGACTAGAGAGGCGGGAGAAAGCAAAGCAGGGAATCCCCTGGGATTGGATAAAATGTAAAATGATAGACACATACTTAGGGGGGTGCAGGAACAATTAACACGATAATGAAGGAACTTGTGGTATCTGTCCTGGCGCCAAGCACATTTGGTTGTGCCCCAAGCGGTCCAGAAAAAGGGAAGTTACAAGTTACCCAGACATTTCAAGGGTATGTTATTATAGATGCAAAAAGACAGGCTCAGTTAAGGTAAAGGTTGACCTTGTCAGTGAAGATACCGGCCTAGGATGTAACAACCCACCATAACTGCTTTTAAAGTTTAATTTCAGACCATCCTTTGTGGTTACTTTAGGTCTTTGAGTTTGCAAGACCTCCATGCAGGCCTTCCCTGGGCTTGTCAGGTTAGCATGTGGCCCCTTTCGTCCACAGTAGATTATGTAAAACTATATAGATGGCTCGCCATCCACTTTTCATTGCACCAACATTAGTTGGAAGTTATTAGAAAGCTTGGGGGCGTAGGAGTGGAAAAAATAAAAATTAGATGGCACCTGAGCAAAACAGAAACCAAAAAAAGGGATGGTTATCCTGTCTTCATTGAAACAAGTATTTTGCGTTGTCTGTATTTTTACAGGCAATGGAAACAGTTCATAGATTTATCAAGTCTCGTTTCATGGCTAAATTTACCTCGTTTTGTTTAAGTAGCCAAGTGACTTCCAAACTGTAACGTTTTCTCTCTTTGCCCGAATATGACCAGAGGTCGTAAAGAATGCTTACTCCAAAATATCACATTTTTAGGATGCTTACGGTATAAAAGCAACCCCCTGTGTTCTGAATAATTTATTTCAAGAAATATGTTTTGAATGCTGACTGTGTGCCAAGCCGTGGACTAGGTAAAATGTCTTGCCACCAAGTAGCTTAAATGTGTTTATCAGCTGAACATTACCAGGGATGGATTAGAGGTGACACTTGCTTCTCCTCAAGCCACGGGTCATCATGCCTGCTTAGCAACACCTAGTGGTCAGTAGAAGGAACTGTCTGAATGAGTGACATATTTAGGACTTTTACAAGAGTTGAAGCAAATGCTCTTCCCCTCTGTCACATCCCATCTCCAGATCAGATAGATAATTAGAATCTCTTTGAATATCTTTTTTGTATTTATGTGTGTCTAGGCTTACTTCTTTAAACCTCTTTCTGTCCTACTTCTAATTCTCCACAATGGGTCAATACTTTGGAAACATTCTTATAGTACATTTTATTGGTGTAAGGAAAAGTAAGACTTTAGAATAAGCAAAAAAAAAAAAAAAAAAAAAAAGATTACTGTATGTCTCCAATGGAAAATTATGCTTCATTTGCAGCACATATTTACAGGTGATTTGATTCTATGGAGTTTGTGTTTTTCCTTATATTTGAATTATTTTACAGCTTCATAAATTCTCTTTGATGGAGGCTCAACAGACTCCAGTCCATTCTACTATCCCACCCAATTCCACCCCCCCACGCACAGGAAAAAAAAGGTTTTGCCCATTTGTAAATTGATTTTAACATTCTTTCCCTCCATATAAACTTGTCTTTGACTTCTCCTTCTCCATTGTATTCTATGTGAGTTGTGATTTTATTTTTAGAATATAATAAAAAGCATTCGATAGAAATAAGTGGAAAAAGCAGGACACCAACCAGTTGGAGACTTTATGTGCCGATTCTTACACAGCACACGCAGGCCTTTGATTGGGCTGAAAAGGTTGTCAGTCCTGTGATGATCTAGGTGTTGTGAAATTGTCAAGTTTTTAGTAAGATCATGTTTAATAATGGTCCATGAATACTTCACTAGTAACAGGTATAGAGTGCTGGAGATCACTCTGGTGTCTAATTAACAGATAATGGCATTTACGGATGCCAAAGTGTCCCCTGAGTTGGTGTAGCTTTAGCACACTGAAGGCTCCAGAAGACTAAGCACAGCTTTTCAGGGTCCTGTCCCATCAGCACTTCTGCTGGGAGCAGCACCTTCACGTGGGCTCTGCAACAAGGCACGTGCTCCCAGTGCAGACATCAGCACTCTAGGTGTCAGGCATCCACAGCCTAGATGCCCCCCCCCCCCCCCCCGCCGACCTCAGGAGGCATCACCTGCTATGG